ATTAACATGCTGTAATACACAGTTCAAAATCAAAGGCTCAAATGCTGTACATGAGAGGTTAAGCTCCCCCTGGCGGTTTTACAAGGCGACGCCGGATAGTTAATCACATGACACACGTGAAACGCGTGATACCGCGTGATACCGCGACACGCCCACCGGGGTATGCCGCGAAATACCTCACCCATTTTGAATGGCTGCATCTGTAGCAATTAAACATTTTTCCTTCTCTTTTTTTTTTTTAGAAAAATTATACAACTCTCAAGGACCAGAGCTGAGGAGGTCCCTCTTCTCTCTGAAACAGTTATTTCAGGTAAGAAAATGAGTTCTATAAAACAATTCTCTTCTGTATAAAATGTCTCGAACAAGCTATTATCTGGGAATTTGGTTATCTACATTTCACACTCCATACAACTCTACAACATAGATTTAGATACCCACCACGATATGCAAGATATATAATTATCTCTCTTGGATTTTTAATGTCTCAATTTTCTTTTATTAACCTATACCTTATATTCATAGTCAAGCTAGGAAGTGAAGTGATATATGATCTATTAATTGATAATTTAATGCACCCTAGCTTTTTTCATAAACTGACCTATCAGAATTATTTAATCATGACGGGTGTTGTATCTGAGGTGGGTTGTGGTACAGCTTCTGAATTGAAAAACCTTAATGATAGAGAATTTGTCACTCACAAATTCTGAACATTTTAGTTATACCCCCTCTTAAAAATGCTCATGATATCTAACATTTAACATTTAACATTCAGTGCAAAGTTATAAATTAATGGATAAAATCCTTAGCAATGAATAATTTGCTAATAATTTGTTGAAGTTAATACCTTTCTAATAGCTCTACACAACAAAATAAATATATCGCTTTATTTTGGGGCCCTCTTGTTGGTACTAGTGATGGGCTGTCTCGTTCCTGTGCATTGCGGTGTTTGTGTGCGGTAATCTTTTGGATAAATCTTTGTCAGTGTCAATCTGCTCAGTGGAGGTGAAAGCTTTGATACGAAATACGAAATTTTCATCTTTGGTTTGATTTTGAGAAAGGGACTTCTTTAAAGGCAAACAAAAGTGTTGATTTTGAACATCTTAAACTGTACCACAATAATCCTAAATACTGCTTTGTTCTATCAAAGTACTGATAATAAGTTAGTGAAAATACTGTTGAGTTCTACTGTAACTACCAATCATATGCCAATAGTGTTTTCCCTTCCTATTGAATAATGTTCTTTGATTTAACAATGTTTTGTAGTGCTGCCTCAACTGACTTGAACTTTGTTGTAATAACCTCAGATGGCTACAGAAGGAGTAAATTAAGTAATTCTATGCTGCAAATGTCTCACTGTAGTCAACATTGAGACTGGTTTTGTCAGCCTTGGCAGGGAGGGTGAATAGCAGCAAATAGTACAGCCTTGCAGGTGTGGGCTTTTGAGAACAGTGCCAACAGGAAGGGCTGCTTCTCATGCTCAGTTGAGCCCTGGTTGGAAACTATGAAACACATTTATGCTTGTCTGTGGATATTGTTATCTGGAATGCTTTCTGATGTCATATGAAAAACAAAACAAAATGTTTTATTAAACACTAATGACAGTCTCTCATCTAGGATGACAAAGACTTGGTGCCAGAGTTTGTCAGCTCTGAGGGGTTAACCTGCTTCATTAAAGTTGGTACTGAGGCAGACCACAACTACCAAAACTACATTCTGAGAGGTATGGGCTTCCAAGTACTCTGTGCAGGTGTGGGACAATCCAGGACAGTGTCCCTGGAGAATAAACTGATTTTTTTGTTATATTATTTCAATATCCCCTTGTTAGCATAAATAAGGGAACATCTTGAGATAAAGCCTGTTTTCTCTATGTGCTTTACAGAGGAAACTAATCCATAGTGGAAATGTGTTGCTTATCATTCAAATTCCAAACATTTATTGAAGCATTTACAATAAAGAGAGTGTAATGCTTGATTAAAAGATTGTTGGTCATTAAGTAAAAAAAGCTGCTGATTAATAAGTCTTCAACAGACTAAATAAAATAATCCTTTTTTATGTATCTTATGTATTTTTAAGTATCTTTTGTGTCTCGACAGCTCTCAGTCAGATAATGCTCTTCGTTGATGGAATGAATGGAATTATAAACCATAATGAAACTGTCCAGTGGCTTTACACACTTACGGGTAGCGTGGTGAGTATACTGAAGCCACTGACCATGCACAGTGGCACTAAAGTGACTGCATACACAGTTTCATCCCCTGAAATCAGAAGGGAATCGAGTGGAATGACATTAGAGCTGTGCAGTGGTAGACCTGTATTAAAAATGAAAAACTAGGACAATGGTGGCAGTGAATGAGGGTTTGTACTGGGTCATGTTATGATTGTGATATATTGTGATTTCCTGGTAGATACATAGTAGATGGCAATGTAGTTTCATGTTTTTCTTATGTTTTGCGTTTGATTGAAAGTAATCTGATGGATTAAAAAAAACAACTATTTTTGTTTGTTCTTTGATATCCTACAATGTGCAAACATTTATTAAGACTACGCTATTCAATTGTACAGAGGGGGTCCCTTGGCTGTGCAAATAATGTTTTAGAAATTGCCAAAGTCTGTCTATTTTTAGCTTGGGACTAAGTTGATGTGGTTTGTGTTGAGTGTTTAATGACCCCTGCTGGAAAGCGAGTGTTATTGTCTTTCCATTTATACTGGAAGTCTTGAAAACACTGGATTATTCAGATATTGCTCTATTTCTCTCTTTTATCAGTCTCGCCTGGTGGTGAAAACTGCTCTCAAGCTTCTGATTGTATTTGTGGAATACAAAGAGTCCAATGCCCAGCTTTTCATTCAGGCTGTCAATACTGCAGACAGCAGTGGAGGTAAGCCCCACTCAATGCTGTGTGATACCAGCTGATAGAGGATCAGCCAAACAGAAATCCTTCTCTTAGGGTTTTTCATGTTGGAAAAATACTTTAGATTTAAAATATTCTGCATCCTATAATGTATGGTTTTGACGTTACCTAAAAAATGTTGCTTTATAAGGACTATACAGCTATGCTATACTGGCAGTTGAAGAAGGCCAAGATATGTCCCCAGATCCTCACTAACTTTTACAGATGCACTACAGAAAGCATACTGACAGGTTACATCACTGTGTGGTATTGCAAATGCAGTATTGCTGACTGCAAAGCCCTATAGCGGGTGGTGAAAACTGCCCAGTCCATTACTGGGGTTGCTCTCCCATCCATCCAGGACATTTACAGTATGACAGATGGTGCTTGAGAAAAGCTCTAAGCATCATCAAAGACTTCCCACACCCCAGTTACAGACTGTTTGACCCTCTATCATCTGGAAAATGGTACCGGAGCATCTGGGCCCGGACTGCCAGACTCGGTGACAGTTTTTACCCTCGCACTATCAAACTATTAAACTCCCAGCCTCTCTCGTCCACAATCTGAACCCTTGCTGTGCCTTCTCTCTTTATCAAAACTCAAACACACATTGAAATCTACCTCTACCTCACGTCAAGAAGTTCACTCCCCATAATTTTCAATCCTTTATTTCAATCTGTTGATGTACAGTATGATTTTGCATGTACAGTATGATTATTGTTGGTTTAATAATAATAAAAATAATTGCTTACATAGCGCTTTTCGTGACACTCCACTCAAAGCGCTTTACAGGTAATTGGGATTTCCTTCTACCACCAATGTGCAGCATACACCTGGATGATGCGACAGCAGCCATAGTGTGCTAGAATGCTCACCACACACCAGCTATCAGTGGGGAGGAGAGCAGAGTAATGAAGCCAATTCATGGATGGGGATTATTAGGAGGCTATGATTGGTAAGGGCCAATGGGAAATTTTTGGCCAGGACACCAGGATTACACCCCTACTCTTTTCGAGAAACACCTTGGGATTTTTAATGACCACAGAGAGTCAGGACCTCGGTTTTACGTCTCATCCGAAGGACGGCGCCCGTTTACAGTATAGTGTCACCATCACTATACTGGGGCATTAGGACCAACATGGACCGCAGGGTGAGCGCCCCCTGCTGGCCCCACTAACACCTCTTCCAGCAGCAACCTTAGTTTTTCCCTGGATGTCAGTACCCAGGTACTGACCAGGCTCACACCTGCTTAGCTTCAGTGGGTTGCCAGTTGTGAGTTGCACGGTGATATGGCTGCTAACATATGGTGTAACTAAATGCTATTTAGCTAGCTCTCAGACGGTAAGTAGTACAAAAAACAACAATACAATTGTATAAGAAAGAAAGACAGACAGAGACAACAATGTGCAAAACAACAACAGAGTAGGGGTGTAACCCCGGCGTCCTGGCCAAAAATTTCCCATTGGCCCTTACCAATCATGGCCTCCTAATAATCCCCATCTATGAATTGGCTTCATTACTCTGCTCTCCTCCCCACTGATAGCTGGTGTGTTGCACATTACCTGTGTCCTGTTGTTGTTTTGCACATTGCCTGTTTAAAATAGCATTTCGTTATACCATATGTATATATGTATGTCCGGGCACTATCCGGACATGTGGGGAGGAGAATAGGATGGTTTGGTCAGAACAGATGCATCTACCTGGCCTGATGTGCCTGACCTCTGAGAGCCTAGTAAGTAAGTACAATGATTTTGAAGTCTGCCCTGTACCTGTCAGGAAGCCGGTGAAGAGAGCTAAATATGGGTGTTATATGGTCGTACTTTCTGCTCCTAGTAACAATTCTAGCTGCTGCATTCTGAATTCTCTGATAGTAGGGCATTGCAGTAGTCTAACCTACTGTATACAAGAGCATGTATTAATTTCTCTGTGTCTTGAGTGGAGAGAAACAGCCTTAGTTTTGCAATATTTCTGAACTGTAGAAAGTATGTTTTCAATATTGTTTTAACATGAGAGTTAAACAAGAGCCTTGTGTATAATATGATGCCTAGGTTACATTCTGGGTCTTTGAGGCAATTTTTTAAATCCTCTGAGTTAAGTGCTGAAGTTATAGTAGTCCTATCAGTATTGTTGCCTCCAAACAACAGAACCAACAGAGTTGAGAAACAAAGTTTTCACACATCCAAGTCTTTACATCATTAATGCATTTAACTAAAGTGATAATAGAAGAGTTTGTCACTAGGTGTAAACAAAATGTATATTTGAGTGTCATCAGCATATGAATGAAAGTTAATATTATGTTTTCGTATTATCCTACCTAGCGGCAGCATGTAGAGAGAGAACAATATTGGTCCAAGCACTGATCCCTGTGGTACCCCAAATTGAACTGGTGACATTGACGAAGTGGTACAATTATTAGATATTTGAGCATAATGAAAACGATTTAGTTAAATATAGTAGAAGTAAACCACTTAAGGATGGTTCCACATAAGCATACCTCAAACTCAGCTATTGTCTTAAATAGGTAGAGAGGGTTATTTGTATTGATTTCCATAAGTTCAGAATAGTAAGCTGAATGAGCTCTATATAGGACTTTCTTATGTTGTTGTAGGCTATCAGTCCATGCCGACTTGAATACTTGCAAACCGGTAGACCTCCATTTTGCACTCTACTTTATGGAACTCCTGTTTAAGGGATCATGCGTGATCATTATACCATGGAGAGTATCTAGTGGTTGTGACTATCTTAGTCTTTAATGGGGCAATTTCATCAACGGCCTGTCTGACCACTGTATTATAGTTATGTGTGATTTCGTGAACATAATTACTGTAGATGAAGCAAGCATTGTTCATATCCACATAATGCATTCCTTTTTTTTACATAAGCACAGAGAATTCTTTCCAATAAATTAAAATGGATTTCTGCTACCAGGCAGAAATTTTGTTCTTGTTGAACAGCTGCACACCTCACTTAATCTAATATCTGTTTGTGCATATACAGTTTTAAGTATCTGAATAACTTGGTTATTTTAACTCAAATGTATGTACAGTTAATACCACTTCCCTAACTGTTTTGTTGGAGATCTTGCATATGAAGTGTATGATGTTTTGATGCTTATTTTAACAGAATTGTATTTTTTAGATTGCTTCTATCTAAAATCTATATATACTAAAAATCTTAAAACACTTTGTGTTTTAAGACATGTTATTCTGGAACGTGAAATCCAAGAGCAAGCTGGGGTATGCAAAAAGATGAATTCCTAATGCAAGAAATTGTATATGGCTAATAAAGTGATCTTATCTTATTTTGTACCTCACTTGATATAAGATCATATGTGTTTTCCAGATGCCAAGCCTTGGTCCTACTTGATGGAGATCTTGGAGGAGAAGAATGGAGCAGACAGCGAGCTTCTTGTGTTCACAATGTCCCTCATCAACAAGGTACTCTCAGTGTTTAGTTTTAGTTGTTGTCTTTACAAGAGGGCAAACAACACAGATTTTCTCCTGTTGAGAAATCCTGCAGTTAAAAACAGTTGTTTACTGTATTGAAGAATGCGGTGCAGTGATGTAACTTGCTTCTTCCCAGTGATTTCCTGGTCCACAGATTGGCCTGACCCTTACTTTCTATCCACTGTTTTTTAAATGTTTTAACTAGGGTTTGGATAGTGTCACTTAATGTCACTTTTACTAAAACAGTTTATTATAAGCATGGTACTGTAATTGATCTTATAACGCATAAATGTACGTTTTCATCAGTGGTTATAGGATATAGGTTTATGAAAATTTGAATGTTTAGCCAGTTTTTCCAGCTTTACAAAAATCATGTGTAGTTTTAAATTAGACATTGATCAACGTGGTTCTACCTCCACAAATGACTCTACACAACTCTTATTATCCCTCTCTCCTGTGGTCTTGTGTTAGATCTTAGCAGCCCTCCCAGATCAAGACTCTTTCTATGATGTTACGGACTGTCTGGAACAGCAGGGCATGGAGAGAATCATGCAGAAGCACATCAACAGCAAAGGCACAGACCCAGACTTAAAAAACCAATTTGCTATATATGAGGTAGGACTCAGTGTCTGCTCTAATTTGACTGTTATACTTTTACAACCAACTGAGTTACTGAGGTTTTAGACAGTATACATACATAATTATGTGTATGATAACATACAGTTTAATTGGCGCTATTCCATACACACTATTTGCCATAATCCTATTAGATATTTTTGTAAATGAGGTTGACAGATTTTGTAACAGATCTCATTCTTTTATTCATGAGGGCTGATTGGCATTAATGTTGTTGATTTTGCATTAAAACTGATGTCAGCAGTTTTTTACAAATAATGTTTAGACACCTGAATTCCTCTGCTAGTTGATGTTTGTTTCAAAGTACTTCATTTTATGAAGTATATGGAATGGTAGTCTGTTCTCTTGTGTGATTAGATGAATGGAAAAGAGATTTCCTTGGTTGTTGGTGTCAGGTTGTTCACTATGGGTAAGTCAGCGGTTTGCTGTGTGACCATGGCCATGAGTCAGAGCAGGATACTGTGCATAACCATGGTGATGAGTCGGAAACATTTGCTTTGTCACCATGGTGATGCATCACAGCAGTTTTTTCAGACACAAATAAGCTCATTATAATAATGTCTAATATATTTTACTTTGTCATTTTAGGGCACTGTACAGTATGTATGTGATCATATAGTAACTGAAGCACGCATTACTGTGTGGTACACTGATACATGAAAGAGTGCTGTTTTTTTTAGAAATGTCCTTTCTCAGAGTGTTAATATTGCAGAGACATTATTATTAATTTCCATTGATTCATTATTTTAAGCCATCCTTTTTGTGTAGTTAATGTGTATTTTCTTTTTGGTGAACAACTGACTTGTTAGGCAGAGTCTCCTGAATTCAAAGTGTCTACAAACTGATGTGCTTGTCTGAAAGTGTGTGTGTTCTGGGTGCTCAGAATGCCCTGCGGTATGAGGACGGCGAGCTGGATGAAGCTTCTCCACACATACGAAAGGACCGGCGAAAACTGGCCCCAAGTGCGGAGGAGGGCCGGAAGAGCCGAAGGGCATCTGGCCAGAACTTGCCAGAGCTGTTGGCAGCTCCCAGCAGCCCCACCTCCTCTGATTTTTGCAGCCCAGCCACCAAGAGGCCAAGCCCTGACCAGACATGTGCCCTGATTGTGCCTCCATCCTTCAAACACCCCAAGCACACAGCCACCACAGAGGGGACCCACAGCCCTAACAGTGCCTTAGACTCTGAATCCCAGAGCTTTTCCCCTGTGCTGTGCCCAGTGTCTGGCAATGGGATTGCAACATCTTCCCCAGACACAGAACTGCTGAGTCCACACCCTGGCCCGTAAGTACTTACACTTCAATGCTGCATTCACTGCAGAAAAATCCTCTTCTTTAATCACAGAAAGGCCAAACATATGCAATAGTGTTTAATTCTTATTTATATATTTTTATTAATATATTTACTTTTTTTCTCTTAAGCAAAATGTTTTCTCAGAGTATTCCAAAAGGCTTTTGTCATTTTTGTTTTAATAGCTGAAGCCGTGGAACAAATTACATTTTCCTTCCTTAAACTTTTACACAATGGCATGAAGATCTAGAATAGCTGTCACTTCTTGTTAAACTATCACATTCATCACAATAACGTCACAATAGTCACAATCAGATATTTTTGGCATTTTAAAGATGAAACTTCCAACACCAAAATAGACCACTTTCATGCCATTAAAACTTATAAAGTCAAGTTTTAAAAGAGCAATATTACAAACATCTCTTTGTGTATTATTTCATAGATCTCTAATCATTCTTTGATTGTTCTACTGCTGTTTGTCTTCTGTGTTTTTTACTGTTGATATAGATATTCATCAATGATCAGAAAAAAAAGACATTTCAGAACAATGTGAAGAAAGCACTAAGAAGTCCTAGGGATATTATTCTCTTTTAAAATTGAAAGTTGATTTATCTTCAACTATTTAAATATATTAATTTTGGAAAATAATTTTGATAAAGGACACTTTCTCAGTTTCCTGAATCTGCTGAACTGGGAGACTGAGCTTAAAGAATGACCCAGGATAGAACTGAACCCTCTGAGATGGCATTTTCAGAAAAAAAGCAGAGAGAGGAAGTGTGTGTAGTAATGTCTGATTTCGAGGAGTACTCTTTGGATGAGCATTTAAGATAGCAGGCAAAATTGATTTCCTCGATGTGTACTGCTTAAAAACATTTACTGAAGCTGATTGTGGTTCACACAAATTTGTATTTATTATTAACGTTACTAATTTAACATTGCATTGCAGGGTTGAGCCTATTTGCACAAAGTTTGCACTTTGTAAGATGTTTATTGGCTCAGTGTGTGAGAAAGTACAGTGGACTCCGGAATTATTGGCACCTCTTGATAAATATAAAGAAAAAAAACAGTATAAAACCAATGATGAGTTAATTAAACAATGAAATATATTTCCAACATAAGGAATTAATTATCCTGAATTAATAATTCAATAGGATCAACCAAGATGAAAAATATATTATATTATAATAGATTATATTTCCTCAAATTAAAAGAAACAATTATTGACACCCCTGTTTTTAGGACTTGGTGGAGCCTCCCTTGGCAAGGATAATGGCAGTAAGTCTTTACCTGTAATGCTTTATCAGGTTGTTGAACACATTGGAAGGGATCCTAGACCATTCCTCAATGCAGAACCTTTCCAGATCCTTGAGGTTTGTTGTTGTGCTCTTAAGGACAGCCCTCATTAGCTCAGACCACAGGCTTTCAATAGGGTTGAAGTCAGGGCACAGACGGCCATGGCAAAAAAGAATTCATGATGCCATCGATCTTAACAAGGCAGCAAAACGGCCCCAGAGCAGATACCACACCATATTTTACAGTATGTGATTCTCTTTTTGGTATATTCATCCCTCTTCTTACGCCAAGCATACCTGTGATGACTGTGGCCAAAATGTTCAATTTTAGTCTCATCTGACCACAGCGGCAGCTGCCAGTCAAAGTGCCAATAGTGTTTGGCAAACTTCAGGCTCTTCAATTTTTTCCTCCACAACAGTAGTGGCTTTCTTTTGGCAACCCTTCCAAATAAATTGTTTCTATGGACGTGTCATCTAATAGTCGTTTTTGAGATGGGATGACTCCATGATGCGACCAATCCTTGTATTTCTGTAACTGAAACCTGTGGATTTTGTTTGCCATGCTCACCATCCTTCTCACTGTGCATGGGGACAAGATGGGCTTGCATCCTCTTCCTGGAAAATTAACCACTGTTCCAGTGGTGTTGATTTTTTTAATTATTGTTCTGACAGCTGATATTGTTATTTTTAAGGTTTTACTTATTTCATGTACCCATTATTTGCTTTGTAAAGGTCACCAGTGGTCTGCCAAATTCTGTTAGTTTTTTTACCTTCCCCATGCTGATTGATGACAAAAGGTTTTTCTGTTTGTGTTTAGTCATTTTTAAACCCTAGGGAAACAGGAAGTTGCTAAATTAGGTAATAGAACCCATATCTCCCTGCAATTCACAACTGGCAGCCTACAGAAGCTAAGCAGGTGTGAGTCCAATCAGTACCTGGATGCAAGACCTCCTGGGAAAAACTGAGGTTGTTGCTGGAAGAGGTGTTAGTGGGGCCAGTTGGAGGCGCTCACCCTGCGGTGTGTGTGGGTCTTAATGCCCCAGTATAGTGACGGGGGACGCTATGCTGTAAAAAGGCTCTGTCTTGAAAAGATTTGAGGTGTTACCCCGGCATCCTAGTCAAAATCCCCATTGTCCATTACCAATCATGACCTCCTAATAATCCCCATCTATGAATTGGCTTCATCACTCTGTTCTCCTCCCCACTGATAGCTGATATGTGGTGAGTGTTCTGGCGCACTATGGCTGCCGTCGCATCATCCAGGTGGGGCTCCACACTGGTGGTGGTGGAGGGGATCCCCATTACCTGTAAAGTGCTTTGAGTGAAGTGTCCAGAAAAGCACTATATAAGTGTAAGCAATTATTATTATTAATTGTTGAGGTACACACATTAGTTCCTTAAGACAAAATTGAACTCAAACAAGTATACATTTATTATGATTTCAGATGTGTTTGTCTTTGAATGGATATTGAAGGGTGCCAATAATTTAGGCACATATGTTTTTTTAGGTAAAACAGCATTACTTGTTTACAATTGAACAGTGAAATTAAAAAGATTTAGAAAAAAGGGACACATATTCCCCTAACACATGAGTATTAAATATCTGTCATTATCGATGTGGTTTATTTTATTATGACTTTTTTCTTTATATTTACCAAGGGGTGCCAAGTCCTCTGCAGGTGTTTGTAATCTAAACCATGTTCCTGTTGAGATCAGAGTAAGGTTCTGGGCTGTGTAAGCTTTTAATACAGTCCTCACTTTGCTTTGAAAAGTATTTACTGTGAAAATCTTTTTCTGCACATTACACTTGGACAGAATGTTAATATTTTATCAGCATCTCTGCCTCTGTCATATTTATATTTTTTTGTTTTGATAAAGGAGAGTGCTGAATTATTTTGTTTTGCTACTGATTTACATAGCACCAGCATTACAGAAGTCACTAAGTTCAGTCTCTAGGTTTATCGACAAGACTACTTTCAGTAAGTGTTTGGTAATGTTTTCAATGCCTGGAACAACAGAAGCCCTTGTATTTCTGCCTGTGACTAATATGACTAATGTTGATATTCTGCTGAACACCCAAAATGCTCACTAAGGCACAAAAGTATACATCAAAGACTGTGGGCAGGCAGAACCACTGCTGTGTGCACGTATGAGAGAAACAAATCAAGAAGGACAAGGGTATTTTATGTCATTTTCCATATGTGGTAAAAATCTGTCTACAGTTGCATTTGTTTTATTACATAAAAACCGGCTGTGTACACAGCTGGACCCAGGGTTTTAAAGTCAATGAATTACTGTATAAAGTCCAATAATACAATACAAAATTGTTAAATGTGTTTAATTTACTATTAAAATAATGAGATTTTACATCATTTACATTGCATAATTTATTTATTACATAATTTATAAGACTGAAGTAGAACCGTAGTACAGTATATTAAACTTCACATCACATTCTGGAAGAATATTTCAAGTAAATCACGTTGCAATGCTTTTTTAAAAAGTAAACATTTTCTTACTTAATAAACGTACACTATACAGTTTGTACAAAGAAATTTGTGCATCATATGTTAGATAGTTGTATTTTACTGAGCATTACAAAGAGCTACAATTTGTAAATGTAACTCTTTGTAGATTGTTCTCAAATTTTAGATGATCCACTTCTTAATGACGATGAATAAGGGTCTTACTAGTCATGTTCTATATAACGCCGTGACACTTTAAAGCTGTGGTCCCTGAGGCATCAGTGTTTCCATGTGTAAGTTAGTGACACTCCTTTGGACTCTGCTTCAGTTGGGATCAAAAACCAAGGGCTTGTTCTTGGTGACTCAGCAGGGAAAGTTACTGATGCTTAGTTTAAATCTTAGTCTTGCATGACTAAAAGTGTCTGCTGTTTAACGTATTTTGCTTTACTCATCTAGAATGCTTTGTCGTATATGAAGCCAAGTCTTGCCCTTGGGCTGAGATGAGCGGCATACAGTTGAGGTATAATCGACCTCATTGTGTAAGGTTAGAGTCTCAGTGGTGAGTCTGTCTTCAGCTAGAAATCAGTGTGACATGCACAGTGCAATTTCCCAGATGTTTCCTATGTCTTATAATGACATTAGAGGTAAGAATAGGTGTCTTCGTGTAGAGATAAACTCAACACTGCTCTATACTCCTCTGCATAGTATGGAAAATGCTATAAGTGCTACAGTATCTCTGCCCAGGGGCCCTTCTTTACTGTTTTTGCTACGTTTCTGGGGATTTTCTTTTATGCAGAAACAGTCATTCTGACTGTCATGTTAAAATCTTGTACAACTCTTGGATCCTTAGTTCTTCAGCCCACCCACAGTATCATAAACTACATAACGTAAATGGATGAAACTTACAAAGTGTTTTTCCACTAACTTCTTTTTCAAATACTTTGTAGCACTTTAAAAGATATGTCAGAGTGGTTTTATTTCAAATTTGTTTAATGGAAAATAAGCCTTGAAAAATGAATTACTGTGCTAAATGAGTCTATGTAGCACTTGTCCTAAGTAAGTTACACATCAATGTAGCACATTTATGTATAAATCGTGTTAAACTTCTCCATGTCCACTTGATCAATGTCTGAACTGGCAAAAGGGGCTCAAGTTAATCTTGGAGTAAAACATAATTCGGCCCAGTTTTTGGGAGACCAGTCGCTTGCAGAGGAAGTCAAATGTCTTAAGTGTGACTGTCAGTGTGCCTGTTATATGAAGCCCACCAATGCTGTTATTTGACATGTTAGGTCAGCGTGATATTTTACCCTTTTTATATACTTGTGTGCTTTCATCAAATTTTGTCATTTTTATTCATTCAAAATTGGTATATTAATTTATTTTACTTATTTATAGTTGAAATGCCAAATTATTTGAACCTGTATATTCTATTTATTATAAGATTGAAACTATTCTGACTCATAATTATGAAAGTGCAGATTTATCTGTGTGTTTGCCTCTTTGACTAGTACATACCTTTCTAAGAATAGCTTGTGAAAATTAAAACATTTTATTCTTTTGACAGACCTGTGGTATTCCATGAGGAAAAGTTGTTCTTGGAAGCCTCACTTTATTCTCTATATAAACTGACAAAAAATGTCTCCAAAACGGTTGTGCATATGTATTCGAGTTGCCCAGAATCTGGGCTCCAGCAGTCAAAACATATTTCTGCTCAGGCTCATTTTCTGTAGTGTGGGCTGGCATCAACAGTATCAAAAAAAAAACAAAAGCTACCATAAAATAATTCATCAATGACCAAAAATGAAAAACACTGCATAATTTCTTTATTTGGCCTTGAATCTCTGCCTGTTGCTTTGCTTGCTTTTTGTTGTTTTCTGCTTTGTGATTTTACACCTGAATATTCAGGAATGGATTAAAGATAGCTTGTTGTAGTCTATAACTGAATTCAATGCCTTGTTCTATTCAGGCCACCTTATAATAGTGCTGGATCTTCACTTAGATTATAGATCTGAGGCCCACTATAGTTCTATCGGAAAGTGCTCTGATGCTTATATCTACCAATGAAGGTTTTATGTTCCATAATCTGCCATTTCTGGTAACACTGCTGTCCTTGTGTACTTCTTGTTTAAGGTTTCCTTATTTCTGGGTCTGGGTGTATTTCTAACCTTATTTTTACAGTCATGCACTTAAGGGCGTTGAATTCTCCTATTTGCTAACTTTCTCTCACTAACAGCCATCCCCCTTCACTGACATCACTGCTTCATCATGCAGATCATTTTTTCACACTCCTGGTCCTTTCACTAGGGGGCGCTCTTTCGTCAGTCATTATGTGTCACCTGTGGGAATTTCTAGAAGGTCAAAGTTTTCTAGCAGTGGGTCCATAGCAGAAGAACCTTCTCCATCATCCTCAAGGTGTGTATGGATGTCTTTCCATCTCCATTCCCCTGTAATGTCAACTGGGTGAGCTTCTCATTTCTATTAGGAGTACACAAGGGTAAAACAAGGTACATGAATAAAATCTTGTAATGAGAAAATTTACTTAAGCCAGGCTTTTAGCAAAAAGACTTTTGTTAAATAATTGACTATGCCTAAAACAGGACTTGGGATATGGGCTCCTTATGTAATGTTAGATGTCCCTTTTGTGAGCAAACTACTGGAGTTGCAGAAGCAGACCATAGGAACAGACACATTTGGACACTTCCCAGTTTGATGTAAAGGTTGTTATTTGACAAGTTTAAGCTATTGCATTTACTTCAGTTTCCATTTGTAATTGTAGCAGTGTATTTGAAATAACCTTGCTGAATGTTAGATGTTTGGAAAAACATTAATTTTCCATTATGTAAATCAGGACAAAGAATGTAAAGAATATAGTGAAATCTAGAAGACAATTTGAGAGAGAAACTGATTAATGTTGCTACCACAATATATTTTTTAACATGTAAGATTGGTTCTTTTAGACCGTTAAGAGGATTTTGTAGTGAAGGAGCTATTTTAACATTATCATAATATTAACAAATAACATTTAAGATTAACATATAAGAAGAACTATAATTGAATTATACTCACTGTATGAGCAGAACCGTTTCAGTCCTTTTCAAAGACTAAAAGTGTCATCAATGTCGTATATCTTTATTCATGGTTGTGTTCAGGTTTTCCAGGTTTCAGTAAACCAAAGCATTGTTTCCCCTCAGAGGAAATTAACCAGATTGCCATTGTAAAACTAAATTATGGTATTGCTTTTGGATAAGACGCTCTCTTCTGAAGAGTCCTTACTGTACAGTATGTGCAAATGACTTGTAATTCTGGACAGCTGAGCTGGCACAGGATGCCACTGGGGTGTTTTGGCACTGTAGGAATTGCTAGGAAAACTCCAGCAGAAGCCTGGTCTCTTCCTAGTCCCAGAGTGCTTCCTAGTCTCCTGTTGTCAGAACTCATGTAATCCTTCTAATTGTGTAAATCTGTACATAGATTTGCAATCAAACTGATGTAATTATCTCCATGTTCATGTGGCAGAACATCTGTGAAATGTAATACATACTGTATGAATGAATAGATGAATGCTTTGATTTGGAGCATTTGTAAGCTATCATTTTTACTTTTTTCTATAAAAATATGACTGAATATATTTACATTTGTAAAGGAGATTGGTAAAGAACAGATTTGCAATTTGTCCTTTTATTATCTTTAAAAAGTTGTCTGAGCTAATCGTGTTCCATGCTGAGTCTGGGAGCTGTTTGGCACTGGCAGTGAAAGACAGCCTCTGTGTTTTAGTAACAACAAATGGGTCAGAGGAGAGCCGAGCTGGTGGAGAGAGCTGACAGGAAACGGTTTTGTCTGGAGACTTTTAAGGACTCTGGATGGAGATTTCCGCAGATTTTTGTTAGACTTGTACTTCGTCACTGCGTTGGCTCCAGCTGAGTTTTTATACTGTTTTCAGCATCGCTCCTGCAAACTCATCTGTCCCTGAGAACAAGTCCCAGGCTGTCCCAGAGAAGGAGAACCGAAGTGAAGGCAGAGGATTTTTCAAGTAAGTAGCTGAATCTCTGATGCCTGTCAGGTGCAATTCTACTGCACTGTTAAGTTTATTTTTATTCTACTAATGTGTAGTAAATATTTTGACACTCAATATATGGCTAAAATAAAAATCTTCATTTCTTTTCTTGTTTTAATTAGACTTTTCATTGATATATGTATTTGATCTGATCTTAACAATTGCCAAGTGGTTTACAGGGAAAATGGATTTTCAGCAGTGCCTGCAGTTTCCAATTTTAGTGCCTGTTTCACCACAGATGTGAAACCGAGGTTGTATATTAACATCTAATATTGTATATTAGATGTTGTATATTAACAAAATAATTTCTATTTTGATCTGACACCTTTAATGTGTGTCTGTTCTTTGGTGCGCCTCATCTATTCTTTTTCTTACAAATGTCCTGGACATCTGTTTTATTTACATTTTCTTCTTTCTTTCTTTTCCCTTATAATGTTTGGCTCAAATCCTAATCTCTTTCCTTGCTGTTCTGCAATCCAACATTCCTGTCTGCTTCAAACCCCTTTCCTTTTACAGACTACATGGAACTGACTCTGTTTGGTAAGTAGTAACAGCACGGCCAAGGAATGTAGTTCTGTAAGGTATTATTACTTTGAAATAATCTGAAACTTTGTAATTGAAAGAGACATGAAAGAGTTTGTTCATAGAGTGCTAAAATGTAATTAACTTGTAATGCTGTAAAAGATAAAGATAAAGGAGGAATGAAATGCGTTTTTTTAATCACAGTTAAATTGCATCTGAAACAAATCATTTGTGTTTTTATTTCTGATGTGTTTTTCATAAAGAATACTTACCAGTTCTAAATACAATTGTCTACAAGTAAAATGTAAATGGGAATAATGTTCCTTTGCCAGTGTAGAGATAATTGCAGGATTGTCTGCCACAATTGGAGTGGATCAGAAATTATTATTTACAGTTAGAATTTTTTTTTTAATTGTCGGATAAGTTCAAGGATTTCTTGAACTACTTAATTTTTTTTTATAGACTTTCATCCCTTGTAGAGCTATCACATTAGTCACATTATTTCATTTTCAGAAATCCTTATCTTTCCAATCAGCATTTTAGTATAATAACAATATTTAGTGCTGCTGGGGTCTTGACCACCTTCTCTAGAGATAGCCATCTGAAACCTTGAGTAAGGAAACTCCGAGGTCTGATCCAGTCTGTACAGAGGCTGTCCCACTGCTGTGCTGTAGTTCTTCTCCCAGTCCTTTTTCAGCTTCCTTTCCCAATGTTTCTCACCAGGAGATATACTGTATGCAAATAACTGGATAAAGATACAATGCATACTCGATGTACTGCACAGTTGTTAAGAATGTTAAATAAGATTGACCCAAGTTAAAACAAAATACAGAGTCCTTTCAGTTGATCATAAAATAGACATTAATACCACAAAACATTTGAATATTTTTAAGCATTTTTAAAGTGCAGTAAAACATTGAATAATCTCTAATGAAAGCAATATTGGTGACCTTTTGTGTTCAAAATGAAATGTTTTTCCCCAGGCCAGAGGAGGTTTATAATGTAAATTTGGACAAACCTGTCCTAAGAAAGCTTGAGTAAGTACAGAACTGGAGTGTAAAGGTGGTTGTTGATTTTTCTCTGCATGAAGCTGTCCAGGATCAGTGGGGTGTGATGCTTCAGCGTGTGAAAATATGGAGTAACATCAGATTTTACCCAGTAAAAAGCATTTGCCATTTATCAGTTCTTTTCTGTATAAATTAAATGTGTATAAGAATAAAAAAAAAAAAATTACTCGGATTCAAATTTGTATTTTAATTACCTCAAAATGAGAATATAAATTTCTAAATTTGCATTGTTAATGTATAACACTATACAGTATATGCAGCTTACAGATTGTCCTCATTGTTTACCCTCGCAGAAATAAACACTTAATTTCTGTTATGGTATTTGAAGAAATGCATTGGAATTATGTGGACAGGCTAACTGAGAGATGGTGAAGTGCTGTTTTGAAACTTTTATGTGGGTAAAAACAGGCTTCATTCAGAGAACCCACACCTCAGCAAGGACAGAGCGTCCCAGCCCAGCTGCTCTCAGTGCAGATTTGGAGAGAATCCTCCTGCCTCAGTTACCTTGGCTTGTTTGCGTGAAGTGATCTGGCTGAAGGGTTTAACAAGGCTTTTGGTGGTGGGGATCGATCTCTGGCAGCGTGTGAAGTGTTTGCTAATGCTGGAATTGTTAATCAGGCTCATTGCTTGTACGGGTGGGGTGTATTTTTTTGTTCCACAAGTTTTTCAATGCTCTTTTAAAGGGTACTCATGGAAAGATCATGATAAAACTCTTAGAAATAGCAGTGGATGTAAGTTTCAGTGATGGCTGGAAAGGGTTTTATTTTTATTTTTTGCAGTACAGTATATATAGTAGTATATACAGTGCTCCACATGGACTTGTGTCTTTTCATTTGCTCTAAGTTTAGCTTCAGCTGAATATTAATTTATCTCTTTCGTACTTTCTGTACAAAATAAAGACACATGCAATACTCATCACTCCTTAAACGAGCACTTTACTTACGAGCAATCACTAAAACAAGCGATACATCTACATACGAACTGTTATAGGAGTTTTCATCCTTGCTGATACAAGCTCCAGATATGTTGCTGTCTTAACTATCTGAACAGATATTGTAAGGTTATTATACAAGTTATGGTCTAGAGTAATATTTTGAATACAATGTTTTTTAAAATATTGATTCAGGTATTTTAACATTTCATGCAATTAAATGTTTCAATTTAATTATGAGTACTATAAATTTGTCTGGAGAGACTCTGTAAATCATCCTTGAAAGAGCATTAATAGCATTGAACACAAGAGGAGTGGGCTGTTAAGTTTCCATGTACAGTACCATCAAAGTTCAGGTGCAGTGATCTGTGCTTTGTCACAAACTTTTGCAGAGGGAATTTCTTGCGAAACCTGGCTGCGACCCACTGGGAAAAGAGGACAAAAGTATTGTCCTCCTTCAAAACCAGGCAAGAGGAGCCAGTGTCCCAGGAAGAGTGGCATTCTCCGGATGTTGTGGTCACGTCTCCCAGGGGTTCTGGCTTGGGGGTTGGCTCAACCTCTTGCTCTGCAGGTACAGTACATGCCCCTCTGACAAACACAACCTTTTTATCATTAATTTTAACTCAAGATCCTCTGCTGCACACATGAGAAATTTAGAGTGTGATTCGTATCCTTCTCAAACAAGTAAGAACAGATTTGCATTTATGAATTAAAATACATTGCTTGAGTGAATATAGTTTTAAAATGAAAACAAATGTTGTAGCTTTTAAGTATTATAAATAACTTCTATCTGCCTACAGCTGCCTGTTTGGTTTATGTAACTGAACTCCTGTTCATTAGCAGCAATGAGTGACATTCTGAGCTGAGATTAGCAATGAGATCAGAATTTCTCAAGAGGTTTTCCGATGTTCTTGTGAATCATTAAACTAAGCAGTGATTATTGCAACCAAGTGAGTACATTTAGTGAATGAAGCAATGAAGCTGTGATAGAAGAACAGTTTTGGCAGAGAACCGAGAAGTTACAGAAAACATTTACTCATTGATGGAAAATATGCTTATGGATACAACAGGTGATGATCATGATCATCTTGTATCTAAAACTGCAGCTTCCGAAGCCCTTTAACTACTGAATTTTTTATAAAACAATTTAAAGCAATAATACAAAAACAGTGTAGGTCATGAGCAGTCCTGTCATTAATCCCATCATGCACTACTGGGTCTGTTAGCTGAGTGTTTTCCTTAGAGCTCAAAAGTTGTAGGTGGGCTTTATGAAGACTTACGAAATATGGTACTATATTAATTTTCTTCCTAGTGCAGTATGAAAGAATAACTTCGTAGCTCTCCATTTTACAACTAGAAAAACATTTAAAAGTAGAAATATTAAGTGAAGGAATGGAACCGGAAATTTTATGGCTTTTTTGTTTTAATAGATGCTTTTGGTTTCACTTAACTGTACAAATGGTTCACACATCAGAAACCCTCTTTGAAAGGCAGGTGACAGTTTAACTCCAAGGTCCATACCTTTGTAACATATCTGTTTTGGCCATCAAATTTAAGGGAGGCTAAATCACAAAAATCCCCATTACCAAATATTCAGGTGTTGGAGACTACAGAGACCAAAGCTCTTTTTTCTGAAAGTGGCTGAAAATCAAGTGTTGAGTTAAAGGTGTACACGTTATGAGCAAAGCAGTTTAGTTGCAGTGGCAATCAGATACTTGTAGAGTATCTGTGTCAGAGTGAGCTACTAGTACAGGCAGATCTATGTATTCTTAGAGAGTTCATGTGCCATGTTTGTCCTGTAGGGAGTGAACAGCAGGACGAGAGGGTGAGCCAGAGAGAACCCAGCTCCTCCTCCAGTGCTCTGGACCAGCCTGGCGATAGACAGGTGGCACAGAATGAGCAAGGCAAGCGATTTGATCTTCTTCCCTACTATTTATTGTTCTGTCCCTTTCATTTCAGTGTTTCTCAAATACCATTCCATTCCTTTTGTTTTTCCTGGACAACTTTCAAAACTATTCACAATAAGCAAGATTAGCTCCTCTTTTTCTAAATCCATGTTTGTGTAATGACCCAAACTTTTTTTATTTCAGAGTAATATGTGACTGAACAATTTCATCTGAAGCAAAAATTATTTTTTTTAATATAATTTGGTTTAAGGAAATATTAAAATAAAGTTTGGTAAATGGACAGTCTTTGTACTGCTTCTTATATTTTCATTTTCTTTCCAGTTTTAAACTCTTCATCCTGATATTTGAGTAATCGATTTTATAATGAAGAAGGTAAAATGAAATTGTATAGTAAGGAGGTATTGTTTTAGAAAATGAGAAATGTTTAGAAGGAGTGAGTTGCTTTGCTTAAATCGCTTGGGTGAGGTGTTGACGTAAAAGTGCCTTGAGAGATCCACTACAATCTGTAACACAGCTTCCTCTGATCTGGAAGGATTTCTGTTTAATGAAGAAAAAGCTATTTTACTCAAAACCCATTATTACCTTTTCTACTTTCAGATTAATTAGACATTTAGTTATACAAAATCTTAAAATGTAAAGATCAAAAGCCTAGAAATGTAAAATCTTTTAAAAGGTTCTATGCTGATTTTTAAAAACTAATTTTACATGCAGTGAATAATCTTAATCAAGTCTTCTATTTGTTTTCATTTGGGGGCTCAAGTCAGATTGATAAAAATCTCATGTTTTTGTGGATGGCAGCCAGATAATAAAGTCACCAACTACACCCTTGCCTGGAGGTAGAAAAATTACAGTAATTATACAGCAAGCATGTAAATTGTTTAGAGTAGGAGGTCAAAAAATGAAACATCTCAAATTGCTTAGAGATTAGTTCACTCTGCAGCGAAGCGAGTAGCTAGCTGCTACCTTTTTAAAAGAGATGGTGGCTTGTGGAAACACTGAGGTTTATCACCATGTTGGACATTTAACAGGCAAGTATATTCAATTTTGATTAATTCTGTCATTTTTGTCAGGTGTGTCTATGTGGAAGAGTTGACAAGCCTGGTTCCAGCTGTAGAATGGCTTGATGCTAATCATTGTTAGTTTAAAAATGTATTGAAATATGAAAGCCATTACACTATTTAATGTATAAATCCTACATACAAGATATATTAAACCTGTAAGAAACTCAGTAACTCATAATTGTCAGTTTCCTGCATCTGAAAAAAGTCAGATTGAAGTTGAAGTTTACCACAAAAGTAATTGAGCTTCAAAATCCATTAAAATGATTTAAGGCTTTTAAAATAATGTAAGAGTTTGTTATATATGAGGTACTACAGCAATATTCTTTGATTAGTTTTTCACCTTCCTGACCTAGGAGGAACTGTCCAGCGGCAGAGTAGCCAGGAACAGCACAGCACCCTCTCCAGTGACACAAAGTTCATGCTGGACATGCTGTTTTCCAAGAACAAGGGTGACGCAATGGTTCCCCAAGAGTTAGAGAACCATATGGATGAAGAAGAGGAGAAGAAAGGTGGTGAGGAGGGCAGCATTCAGGGGAACCAGCTGCTCTCTAGCATTGAGAGCCTGGTCAACCGCCTTTCCTGCCAGGAATCTCAGCCCCAGCCAGACAGCCAGCGCAGGGCTGAACTAGAGGGGATGGGGGCTGCTGCAAGGGCAGCAAGGGAGCACTTTGCTGAGGAACCACAGCACAGGAAGTTGCGTGCGCAGTACAGCATCGATGCAGAAATCCACTCCAGGAGCCTGGAGAAGACCCAGATGACCCCACTGTCTCGGGATGGTGAGGTAGCTTGGGACCGACTGGAGACAGGCACCAGAGAGCTGAAGATCAAGGACCTGGACTTTTCTGACCTGCTAGAGGAGGAGGACATTGATGTTCTGGAAATGGACAACTTTAAAAGCAGCTTGCCCAGTGGGGGCTCCGGGCTTCCGCTACCTCCTCCACCCCCGCCTCCATCTAGCAATTCTGGAGCTCCACCACCTCCCCCACTCCCTCCAGGTGGTCCTGGCCTCTGCCCTCCTCCCCCTCCACCTCCACCCCCACCAGGGGACCCTTCTGCCCTGTCTCTCCCTCCACCCCCTCCTGGCCACCCCCCTGCACTCCCCTCACAGCCCTCTGAATCTGCCTTTTCCAAGAAGAGGAAAACGGTGAAGCTCTTCTGGAAGGAGCTCAAGCAGCCGGACACCCCCAGGAAGTGCAAATTTGGGCGAGGGACAGTGTGGGCCTCCCTGGATAAAGTGATGGTGGACACAGCAAAGCTGGAGCACCTGTTTGAGTCCAAAGCCAAAGAACTGCCTACAGTCAAGGTATTCCCTAGCAATGCTTGCTAAATCAGCCTGCCAGCTGGCTAGGAAAGGTGTGATAAGAGAACAGGAAAAATTAATGGTAACTTGAAGTAGAACATAATTATTCAATAAAATCTAAAACACTTCTGCCAACACTGCTGCTGAGTGCTTTTGATTGTTACTTGCTTATTTAATTATTTTATTACATATTATTGTACAACCAAAGAACAAATTGAAATGTAAGTAATCTTTATATTTATTAAACTAGATATTTTGTGCTTGTCTATGTAATGTTGGAAGTACAATTGGAAAGTGTTAAGATTGATGTTCATCTGTGCTGATGTTGTGAAACTCATCAGATGTGCCTTTTCTTTGGTTTCAGAAAGGAGGTGAAGGAAAGAAAACTGAGATACTTGTGCTTGACCCCAAGAGAAGCAATGCAATTAACATTGGAATGACAGTGTTACCCCCAAAACACATCATTAAAACTGCCATTCTGAACTTTGATGAATTTGCAATTAACAAGGAGGGCATTGAGGTAGGAGTAATGCTATTTTGCAATCGGCTTACAACCCTGTCGTTACTCTGTTATTGAATACTGCTCTCTACATTCCACTTTGAATAAGATGTCTGTCCTTTATTTTTTATTAAGATGAAGCAGGCGTATATCTGAAGTAAAAGTTCAGTTTGGTCTTGGTGATTTTGAGAAACTTACCATCAAAAATGAGTGCAGCCTGGAAATGGCAGTGAGCAAGATGTCAAATTCATTATTTAAACCCAGTTTTGTCTTTCCTATTTGTTATTGTTTATTACTTATTAATTTTTAAGAATGAGTTTCAAATTTGAGTGAAAAATTATTAGATTAATTTCATGGTGTAGTGTTGTAGAAACACATTCAAATCTGTGACTGTCACTAATGACTTTGATTACTAATAAACTCTTTAACCATTTATGGTTAAAAATCAATTCTGTCGGGACTGCAGTGCCATGTCAGACACTGGACTGTAGAACCAAGGTGAACACTGGACAGAGGTTCTCTCCCAAAAAGTTGTTTGCCTTGAATTTGCCACATTCAACATGCACACTCAGAAAAGTTCTCTTTTGTGTATAAAAGCTGCTTATTTATTTTTCATTTCTTATTTTATATTGAAACATTACGTCTTTACTTGTAGCTGAATCATTATTCTATGACTTTATCTCACTCATTTGAAAAATCTGTAAAATTGATAATTGTGAATATTTAATAAACATATATGGACACCTTGTTTAAAACAATAATTTGATAACCTAATAATATCAGAATATTAGAACACAGTTGGTGGAAGACCTGTCTGGACTTCTAGGTCCCACTGCCCATAAGTATTGTTGTACAACAATGAAATATTTTATTTTCCTATCAAAGCTTTTTCACAGGAAATGAGCCCTTAATGTTTTACACAAAAAAAATTAAGACCATGAAGTGTTAAAGACCATTTAAGTTGCTCATCAGAGACAATGTTGGCAGACCAAAGTGACGTCAGTATTACACATAATCCCAATATTCTTGAACTGACTGTTCATAGAAAATCCTGACCATGACTCCTACGGATGAGGAAAAGCAGAAGATTCAAGAGGCGCAGCTGGCCAATCCGGACATGCCTCTGGGGACTGCAGAACAGTTCCTTCTCACACTCTCGTCCATCAGCGGCCTGACGTCCAGGCTGCAGCTCTGGGCCTTCAAGCTCAACTATGAAGCCCTGGAAAAGGTCAGCGATAGTTAGGACTTTCCCTCTGACGGAGAAGGAGCTTCCTTACATATTTTTGCTGCTGCATCTGTGCTAGTCTTCATAAAAGCACAAGAAAAGCTACAAATGAGAGGAGGCCATTTAGCTCACTTGACTTCTAGTAGTTGGTACATGTTTCAGTGTTGATTGTGAACAAATTTATAGAGATGACTTTGCCATTCTTTTAGGATTTTGAAGACTGGTTGGATTGGTTTGAAGAAGGATTGGTTTCCCTCGTAATGTTCTCTGTTGGAAACTGAGAGGATGCAATTGTTTCAGCCTGTCAGTGTTCAAAATGTTTTTAACCCACAAAAATATTTGGTTGCTCTTTTCTGCACTCATTCCAAAGTAACTATTTTTCAGAGCATAATAATAATTACACAGTTGTCTAAAGGAGGTCTCACTGCTGCAATTTATTTCTTAAGGAATTCTAGGGCTTTTATCTTATTTGTGTATGCTTTACATTTGCTACAGTATATTTATAATAACACTTTATTTACTCATCATGGGGCCTGTTGTTGATTTCATCCTGGGTAAACAATGACTGCTGTTTGTCTTCTGTGTTTTTTACTGTTGATATAGATATTCATCAATGATCAGAAAAAAAAGACATTTCAGAACAATGTGAAGAAAGCACTAAGAAGTCCTAGGGATATTATTCTCTTTTAAAATTGAAAGTTGATTTATCTTCAACTATTTAAATATATTAATTTTGGAAAATAATTTTGATAAAGGACACTTTCTCAGTTTCCTGAATCTGCTGAACTGGGAGACTGAGCTTAAAGAATGACCCAGGATAGAACTGAACCCTCTGAGATGGCATTTTCAGAAAAAAAGCAGAGAGAGGAAGTGTGTGTAGTAATGTCTGATTTCGAGGAGTACTCTTTGGATGAGCATTTAAGATAGCAGGCAAAATTGATTTCCTCGATGTGTACTGCTTAAAAACATTTACTGAAGCTGATTGTGGTTCACACAAATTTGTATTTATTATTAACGTTACTAATTTAACATTGCATTGCAGGGTTGAGCCTGCAATGAGTAAAGTTCTCCATCTCAATGCTGTATGTATTGACATTTAGACATTACAGGTAAAATGTATGGGATTAAATTGGGTTAAATTTGAAAAAATACTTTCAATCAACTAGATACTTTCCACCGTAAAGTTTACTGTATAAAATAAATTGACAGTAAATGTCTGTTAGTGTTCATTAGATTTTCAGAGATTTTTTTAACTCTGATAGATTTAAAGGCATTATTTCAAACCAGTTTTCCTAAGTGTAATATCATTCACTAATCAACATAAACAACAGATGGAGTTGTTGAGATATTATCAATTTACTGTATATAAGAAGTGAGATCTTTCACTTTATAAAATCTGGTGTCATGTCATAAAAACTAGTATGTCAATTACGTTTTCTACATGTCTGTTTCATTGTTTTTAATTCTGTACCTATATGGTTGATTCCTGTTTGGGGTTTGTGTTCTAGGAGATTGCAGAGCCTCTGTTTGATCTTAAACTGGGAATGGAGCAGCTGGCAAAGAACATAACCTTCAAACACATCCTCGCTACACTTCTGGCCATTGGAAACTTTCTGAACAGTTCAAGTGTAAGATCTGTTCCTGTACTGAATACATTAACAACAGTTTATGACTGAAACCTTAGCTCAGCTTGAGACATTACTGGTCTATGAAATATAATGATGGGGTATCTTATACTACTAAAAAAAAGTTTTTAAAATAGGCCTGAACATATCTGGTGCTTCAGTAATTTACAGAAATGGTGTATACTGACCTGTTTGATTTTTCTTGAAGGCAAAGGGCTTTGAGCTGAGTTACCTGGAGAAGGTGTCAGAGGTTAAAGACACAGTGCACAGACAGTCTCTTCTGCACCACACATGCAATTTTGTAGTGGAGAACTTTCCTGACACGTCTGACTTGTATTCAGAAATCGCAGCCATTACACGATCAGCCAAAGTGAGTATTATCAATACTATTATAAATACTAACCTGAAAGCAGAAACTATCATTTTTTCCCCTTTGTAAACATTTCTTGGTATAATTAGCCACAAATATTGTAATACTTTTAAACTGATTTTCCATCTGTGGTTCTATGGTTTCCATCTAAGCTTCGGATGCAGCTACATCTTGATGTTGAGATTTTGATGTTTTTCTCTAGGTTGATTTTGACCAACTGTCAGAGAACCTGTTGCAGCTAGAGAGGAAGTGCAAAGCATCATGGGATAACCTTAAGGTGATTGCAAAGCATGAGACCAAGGCTGTTCTGAAGAACAAGATGACAGAGTTCCTAAAGGACTGCACTGAGAGGATCATCATCCTAAAGGTTGTTCACAGACGGATCATTAACAGGTGTGAACTGCCATGCATCTGTGAAAAAAGGCTGGTGGCAGGATTTTTGTTTACTAATGGCACAAAATGGTAACTGAGATTATTACAAGTTTAAGGTATTTTGTCATTCTTTGTTCTGAAGATAAAATACAAGTACTATACAGTCAAAACTTTACCTGTATGACAAAGGAAATTTTGTTCCTGGGCTAATTGTACAGAACTGTTCTACTAAACTTGAGTGTTCAGTTGGTGTATAAAGGTAGGCATGAACTAATTCCCACAGGTTCCACTCCTTCTTGCTGTACCTGGGCCAGCCCTCTAACTCTGTTCGGGACATCAAGGTCACCCAGTTCTGCAGGATCATCAGCGAGTTTTCCCTGGAGTACCGCACCAGTAGGGAGAGGGTGCTGCAGCAGAAACGGAAACGAGCAGCGTATCGTGAGAGGAATAAGACGCGTGGCAAATTGATCACAGAGGTTAGAGCAGCAGATTGGGCTTCTAGAAACTGGGGCATTCCTGCTTAACATGGTTGTGGTGGAGGGGAATCCCCATTACCTGTAAAGCGCTTTGAGTGGAGTGTCAAGAAAAGTGCTATATAAGTGTAAGCAATTATTATTATTATTAT